CCAAATGTAAAAAAAAAAAAAAAAAAAAAAAACATGGAGGGCATTTTTTTCCTGATGGGTGTACAGTAAGGTAGGGTCAGGATGCCATTTATTTTTAATATTTCTTATGAACTTTGGATCATCACAAGTATTCATGAGCCAAGAATGCAGGATGCAAACTAATGTGACTGATAGGCTGCTACATGAATGGTGAGTCAAGTATCAGTGCACAGATGGTTCTGATTTGCTGAATTTTGTAGCTGCTGCAACTGAAGACATAAAATATCCTTCTAGTCATAAATTAGCTCTTTGGAAGCAAAACCTTGGCACCAGAGCTTTACAACCTTCAATTAGTAGGAAAAGAAGTATTTGAATGACTGTGGTATTGACATCTGTAGGCCTGCATAGTAATCATTCCTAATAGAAGAGAATATCTGTTTGAGGAGGTTTTGCATGGCTAATTAACTATCAGTGAGAATATGTAATTTTTTCATGATCTCCTGATTGTCACCTTTCTCTCATGATACAATTACATTTTATTGTAGCAAGTGCCTCACAAACCAATTGTCAGCACTATTTACTTATTGCAGAAGGCAGAACAAAAGTTCATGTTTAATTTAAAAAGCCACTGGATTTTGATCTTGGTAATTACTGAGACTTATTTTAAGTTTTATTGACTTTTGTGTTTTTATCACTTTTGCTCCAAAACAAAGAACAATTTCCTTGACATAGTATTTCCCTTGCAATAATGGTCACCACTTAATCTACACTAATTTAAGTAGATTTTTTTTCTTTTTGTAGTTTTTCAGTTTCATAAACTTAATTGAAATATAAAAGAAGCCATTTTAAAAACTGACAGCTATATATTCTGATATAAAATTCTAATTATTACCTACCAGAATTCTCAGTTTCATCAAATTTAAAGGGCGTTTGTTGTGAAACCATTTTTTAAGAATAGAACATAAAGCATTTTTTCCAATGAGCCTCCATCAAAAATATTTTGTTCCTTCCTTTAGATTAGAGTACTCTGATTATGAGTTTAAAAAAAAAACATAATATGCATTTTTAAGACCTTAGTTCATTTCTGTTAATGTGGTCAGCCTGGATGTATAAGCAGTAAGATAATTTGGGGATATATTTCACAGCAGATCAATATTTATTTATTAATGACTTTATTTTACATAAATGTTAATTTGGTAGTATTAACAAAATATGTTTTGGATTAGGTATTAGAAAGTAGTACATTACCATAAGAATCTCAGCAAACTTACAACTTTTTACAAAAGAAAAATGAGATATTTTTCTAATACTTGATTTTACTAGGCATCATAAACTGTTCCCTGTAAACTGAGCTTTCCTCTTGAAGTCCTCAAATACTATTACTAGAGTTGAACTGGAAATGAATTTTTGTCAAGACAGTAGAGATACGGATCATTTTTCTTGAAAAGTAAACTTTTTGGCTATTTGCCTCAATTAAAATGATGGTATGTATAGTTGAAGTCACTGGCTAATAGTTCTGGTGCCTCCTGAGGTAGTACTGTCAATCAAATTAGAAGACTTCTTCATCAGGGCCACCACAGTGTATTTATGCCACCACTGGGATTTAATGTCCAAAATTCACTGAAGGAAACCATATTTCAGTAAGAATGCTTACTGAAGTGAGCTAAAGCTCTAGAATTCCCAGATGAGAATGTTAAAGCCAAGTTGGAAAATAGCATTATTAAAGGCCCCAATTCAAACCCCTGAATAAGCTACTTCTTCAAGAGTCAGTGGATCCTTTTATCAGTTTATCAGTGTCTCCCTCCTTAGTATGGTGCCTGAATCCATATTGTAATAGAGTAGACACTTGGGCATAATGAGCCACTTACTCTTCCTAAATGCTTTTCCTAGGCAGATGAGTAGCTGTATGTCAGAGCTAAAATGTTCAAGCCATTCTACCTTTTAGACAATAGAAGTTTGTTCTTTCATTCCCCCTAAATCTGAGGTCCCCACAGCAAATCCAGGGGTGATATATTATTATAGGTAGCAGTAATATTCCTGAGCTTTCATTCTCAAATAACTCTCTGAACTTGTCTTCCTATTTATTTTCTGTATATAAGGCAAGTAGAATACAGATTCTGAATTACAAACACATTTTCAGTTTATTAATTTTTAGGAGTCCAAAAGTATTCCTGATTTTATAGAACAGTGTGAAGTTCCAATGGAAAATTAAATAAAAACTACTCATTTGAATAGCTACTTTCTTGAAAATGACACATTTGGATAGTATCCTTCTATTTGATAATATGGGATGCCTGGAGTGTTGCCTATATTTACTTTTATATCTTTGATAACAAGAAAGTTTCACTCTGTTCACAATTAAGAATTAAACATTATCATCCCACTTCAGTCGTACCATTTTAAGAGTTCTCCTAGAAATAGAAATTTCTTATAAACTGAGTATCATTTTATAAGCTGGAAGTGCCCATGGCTGTGCAATCTATCCAACTGCCAGCAGATCCAGGAAATATCATCCAGGCTTTCTGAGGCCTCTCAGAGGACAGAATATATTATGCCAGATATAAACAATATATCAGAGGCTCCCAGGGCAAAAACTTATACCTAAAGTGCCTACCAATTAGGAGGCACCCTCAATAATATCTCAGCTAAAAATAGAACTACCGCACAATCCAGCAATCCCACTTCTCGTTATATATCCAGAGGAAATGAAATCAGTATGTTGAAGAGATACCGTGCAGGCACCCCATGTTCATTGCAGTATTGCTCACAATAGTCAAGATATGGAAACAAACTAAATATTCATCATCAAATGAATGGACAAAAAAATGTGGTGTATATATATACAATGGAATATTATTCAGCCATAAAGAAGAGTGAAAAATCTTGCCATTTGCGACAACGTGGATGGATGAACCTGGAGGACGTTATGCTAGGTGAAATAAGCCAGACACAGAAATACAAATACTATATGATCTCACCTATGTGAGAAATCTAGAAATGTCAAACTCATAGAAAGTAGAGAGTAGAATGGTGGTTTCAAGGACCTAGGGGTTGGGATAACTGGAAAGATGATCAAAGGGTATAAACTTTCAGTTATAAGATGAGTAAGTTATGGGCATCTAGTGTACAGCACAGTGACTGTAGTTAATAATATTGTATTATACACTTGAAATCTACTTAGTAGATCTTAAGTCTTCTCACAAAAAAAATGGTGACAATGTGAGGTGATGGATGTGTTAATTAACTTGATAGTGGTAATCATTTTATAGTGTATACGTATAGCAAAATATCACATTGTACACCTTAAATATATATAATTTATTACATTTCAGTAAAACTTGGAGTTGGGAATCTCAACTAATCTCCTTCATAACAGAACACATTTTTACAGTAATTGGTCAGTGCTTTAATAGGAAGAAACTGTGCAGCAACCTTGGGAGACCCTATGTTTCACACTAGTGCTTTGATATACATTTATCACCAAGATGACGTCAGGGGAAGAGTGGTCCATTACACATCCATTTTCCCAGCAGTTTGAGAGGACTGAATGGTGGAAATAAAGAACTCCTGAGTGATTAGGAAACATTTTCAATTTGCAGGTTACTGAAGGGAGCGGCTTTGCTATCCTTTGGTAAGCTGAGATCTGGGAGGATGGGGTAATAAAAATTGGTGTTGTTACAACTTAGACCGAGCCACAGAACACCAGCATATTTTAAAGGGAATCAGTGAACACACTTGGCAACAGAAGCTAAAAACTGAGAGATTACAAATGAAGGCTCTGCTTGCCCAGCCAATGTAATTCATTCTCTGTTTTGGCACTGGCTACTCCATTATTTCCCTTGGGCTGTTCCTATCTTGTGCTCCCTATTTAACCCATGAAAAAAGGTGATGGCAGTTTCAGCTGCTGTAAACATGAAGCTGCTGAACAAATACTTCACGTAAGGACCTTCACTGTAGCTTTCAATCTTTCAGCTATATTGTGGGATCTGCCCTTCTATTTCCATGTTTACTTCAAG